CACACACACACACAGTAAATACACAACGTTTGACTCACATCTTCATAAAGTCCTGGTGTTTTAAAACTGTACTTTAGGTTTGGAAATGTGGTTCTGTGGTTTTTGATAATTATTATCTTACCTGTTGTAGACAGCTCCTTAATGACCTGAAATAAGAGGTGATTCATGTGAGCACTATTTATAACCTTTTTATTGTCACCAGTTTCACATTACACAGCTAGTATCAAGATGTCCCATCATGTAATTGTGTGTGCATGTGTGTGTGTGTGTGTACACACCTGGTCCTTCTATGCAGTGGTGTAGTCTACGTGATACGTTGGTATACGCCATATAACCACTAAAAAAAGCTTGGGTATTTCCGTATACCCACTTAAAAGTGCCCAGTGACACGTGACATATCACTGGGCATGTGTCGTTGATATGTAGAAACATTGAAACGTGGGGGCCAGTGGTCGGGGCGAAACACGTTGTGAACGGTCTCAGAGAACAGTGGTGTCAGTGGTGGGGCCAGGGGAGAAGAGACTGTGTATTTCGCCAGGCGTGTGTACTTTGGTTTCTAAGCACAGTATACCCACTACAAAAATGTAGACTACACCACTGCCTCTATGAGTCTTTCTGGTACAGAACCCCATCATACTTGTTGTCCTGATAGGGACCAAAGCCTGGTTTGATGACAGCAGAGCCTCAGTAAGGTTAATAAGTTAATGTTAGTGCTGTAATGGTCAGGTTCAGTGTAAAGGTCAAAGTTAAGCCACGAAAATGAGCGGTCTGAAAACAGATAGAAATACAAGCATGTGTGTCTGCAGTTTGTTTTTATCTTGAACACAAAAACAAAACCATAGCTAAAAGGTAAAATTGACAACAAAAAGTAGCTAGAAGCTAAAACCATCAAAATAGTAGCAATGCAGTGGCTAAAACTTAATTAGCAAAAGATCACATCATCAAAACAGCTTAAAGATAAAAGTAATAATAGAAACATATAAATAGAACAAGTATGCTAAAGTAGATTAAGGTGAAGCACTCACACCTACCTCCACCCTCATTTGCCCACTTTTAGCTCTTGAGCAAGGCTGTTAAAGAGAAAAATAGAACAAACACGATCAAGTAGATTTTAAATAAAACAAAGTTTTGAAATAATTAAAGTGACATCAATAGTTCCCTTTTAAAAATATTTAAAAGGGGATTTTTTTTTTTTTGTAAGTAAAGCAAAATGTTTTGAAAAGTACAACAGCTACTAAAAGCTGAAAGTCAGAACACTATTGTCATTTGAGCCAATGAATAATTGTTAAAATAGCAGAAATTATGTGGAAGTAATTTTGTTGCAAACATCATACAAATAAAACTATAAACAGGAAAACTATTGTGTGAACTCTGAATCAGCATTTATGTTGACTTACACACAAGGAGTTGGAAATTTAATCAAAGTTTGGTTCTGGGACATTTATATTTTCATCTGCACTTCATTTGTTTGAACCAAGTAGAACTGGGGGTTCTTTAAAGGCCCTGACCTGACCCCGGTCCAAACCTGTGTTCTCTCTGTTCCTCAGGAGGACCTTGTTCCTGCAGGTCATCAGAGGTCATCAGAGATCATCAGAGGTCAACAGAGGTCATCAAAGGTTATCAAAGGTCATCAGAGGTCGTCAGCGGGTGAATTAAAAAGTCTGGACTGATTTCTGCTCGCTCATGGCAGACTGGAGCCTTTTGGGAAACTTTCTGGAGGAAGTCCAGGAGCACTCTACCTCTGTTGGCAAAGTACGAGTGAAACACATGACAGGCAGCATGACAGCAGTCTCACATCCTCTGCCCGTCCTGTTTATGTCTGACCTACAGTTTATCTTGAGACAGCTCTGTTTAGTGTGATTTGTGTTTTTGACGCTATTTTAATATTTGCAACTACACAAAAACGACAAAAGTTGCACTGCTGAATAAAAGTACCAATGCATGTTAATTTTTGTACAATATTCTTCCATTTGAGCCACAATTTTCCATTTGTGTCTCTCCCTTATGGAAAAACATTTAAACATGTTGCTCATTCAGGGTGAATGTGCCATGACTTTAGCAAAAAGCTGCAAATAATGTGCCCATAGATGACAATGGAACTGTGTTGAAACATGGTAAACCTGCAGCTCACATGCAGTTAGTCCACAGTAGAAACACTGAGTCACAGAAAGTTACACTTTACATGACTGAACTGGCTTTTTGAGATCTTTAGATACATTTTTGCAGAATCAGTTTAAACTTTATTGTTATAGAAGATCTTACTGTGTTGTCACACACTTTATCTGAGCCATTAATTAATTTAAAAAGTATTTTTACTCCTAAAGTCTGCGCACTTATTCTACTTCAGACTTCTTACTTCTTTTACTGCGTTTTGTCTGATTAGATTATTACAAAAGGAGACGACATGATGTTGGAATAACTGTTTGTCACTACATCTATGATATTCCCATGTTGTTCATGGTGACAGATGCTTTTAATGTACATTTAGTTAGTTGATTATTTTTTTAATTCACAGGTGTGGCTGACCATCCTGTTTATCTTCCGCATCCTGGTGCTCGGGACGGCGGCTGAGTCCTCGTGGGGAGACGAACAGGAAGACTTCAACTGTGACACCGAGCAGCCCGGCTGCGAGAACGTCTGTTACGACCGAGCATTTCCTATAGCACACATACGATACTGGGTAAGAATGACCTGCCATGAGGCAAAAATAAAACTAAACCTGCAGCTGCTAAAAGAAACAAATGGCAAATGGTGAATATATTGGGTCTAAGAGTGGAGCGAAGAGGGAGATTGAAACCTCTGTCCATCCTCCTGCATGTTGTGAACATGATAACTTGAAAAATAAGTGAAGTACCAACACAATTTTGGTGTGTGGCTGCATCTAGGTATAGAAAAGGTCACTGTCAAAAACTGGGTTGCCCCGTCTAAATCCAAGATGGCCACCATACATATTGTGGCATAATTCATCCATTCAACCTTTATTTATCCAGGTTAGTCTCATTGAGTCACGAGGACTCATTTCCAAGAGAAACCTGTTTTAGACAGACAACATATAAAACTACAATAAAAATGCAATTAAAATAAAAGTAGTGTTATAAAACAGGATGAAATACTAAAAATAAGAACATATTTGCTTTGATGTTTCTATCGACATTATCAAATGTTTGAAGCCCCTTAAAGAAATTAGGGTGGACAACTTCAGTTCCTGTTGCAAGGTGTTCCAGGTTGTAGGAGCTGAGTAGGAAAAGGTCTTTGTGTCAAGTTCAGTCTGCACAGAGGGAACGCTGCAGGTAATGATGGCCTGAGAGCGCACGCTGTAGCTGTGCAGACGGCGTGACAAGTAGGAGGAGATATAAGAAGGTAGCAGACCAAGGAGGGATTTATAGATGAAGATGAACCAGTGTGAGAACCTACGTGTAGATAATGATGACCAACTGACCAAGGAGTACAGGGTGCAGTGATGGGTACAGTAGTTACAACCAGTTATGAATCTTAGTGTGTCATGGTAGACAGCATCCAACATCTGCAAACAGCTGGCAGGGGCATTCATGTAAATAATGTCCAGAAGAACACTCATCCTGAAACCACAAACACTCACTGTTTAAAGCATTCAGCAACGGGGGACATCGACGTACCGCCTGTTTGTTATTTGTCATCACCAGATTAAGGGTTTGTCACTGTGTGTTTCTGATAAATTTTCTAACCTTATCGCTGTAAAAAGATGGCAAACAATTTAACATTCAATACAGGTTATGCAGGCTGTGATAAAAAAAGGATGTGTAAAACTCAGCCACAGCTCACTCAGCTCAGAGTTCTGCGAGACTGCAAAAGAAAACTTGATCATCTTCTCATGATTCTCAGGATTCAGTCAGTCTCCAGCTCAGTAAAATATTTCCTCACAGTTCTGTGAGGATCTGTGTCTTCTTGTGTGTGTCTCCCCTCTTGTGTTCGTTCCTGCTCCTCAGTGTTTCTTCCTTGTGTAATCAAGCTCCTGCCTCCGCCACTTGTTGCCAGGTGTTGTCTGTCATTAAAGTCCTCATATTGCTCTGTCTCTGTGTTTCTCATAGTCTGAGTAGTTCCCTGTCTACCTCCATGCACCGTCTTCACTCTATGTCCCCATCAAGGAAGTTTGCTGCCCCGTCCTTTTGTTTTTGTTAATAAATTATTTCTTATTATAATTTTCTGAGTCTCCATGCTCTGCCTGCACTTGGGATTGACATCAAAACCACCGGAACGCGCCAAGTTCAAATATGAGAGTGCACAATCAATGGACTCCTGACTTTTGTGTCTAACCTGGTGGTCAGTAGCTCAGGAGCACCAAAGGGGACTGTACTCTCACCATTCCTTTTCATTCTGTACACCTCAGATTTCCAGTACAAACAGACTCCTGTCATCTGCAGAAATATCCAGATGACTCTGCAGTGGTCGGGTGTATCAGAGATGGACAAGAAGCTGAGTACAGGGAACTGGTGGACCACTTTGTGGCATGGTGTGGAAACAATCATCTCATCTTGAATGTGAACAAAACAAAGGAGATGATTGTAGATTTCAAGAGAAATAGGAACAAGTCCAACACTATTTCCATCATGGGAGAAGAAGTGGAGGCGGTGGAAAAGTATAAATACTTTGGGGTTCACCTGGACAACAGACTGGACTGGAAATGCAACAGTGAAGCATCTACAAGAAGGGACAGAGCAGACTGTACTTCTTAAAGAAGCTGAAGTCCTTCAGTGTTTGCAGCTAGATGCTGCATATCTTCTATAAGTCTGTTGTAGAGAGCGCTATCTCTTCTGCCATCATCTGCTGGGGTAGCAGCACCAGAGCAAGTGACTTAAAAAAGATCAACAAGCTCATAAAGAAGGATGGATCAGTTCTAGGAACTCCTTTGGAACTTTTGGAGATGATTGTGCAAAGAAGGATTCTTCATAAAATGAAGAACATTATAGACAACCCTCAGCATCCTCTTCATCAGACTGTCCTACAACAAAGTGTCTTCAGTCAGAGGCTTCTTCAAATCCGTTGTAGGACAGAGCGCTACAAGAGATCCTTCCTGCCCACAGCCATCAGCATCTAGAACAACTCTTTAATGAAACCAGGATGATGAGTTACAACAACATATAATTTCCCTCTGGGATTAATAAAGTATTTTTGAATTGAATTTAATTGAATTGAATACCACTAGTCGTCACCACTAGTGATGGTCAGCAAATTGAACTTGTATCTACGTTCAAATATCTGGGATTTTTAATTGATGACAAATTGTCTTTTAAAGCACATGTTCAGTTTACTGTAAATAAACAGAAGCTTTCACTTGGATTTTATTTTCGGAATAAATCCTGCTTTTGTTTTAGGGTAAAACAGAAATTGGTGGAGTCAGCTTTTCTTCCCATTATTGACTACGGTGATGTATTATACAGGAACGCCTCTGCTCAATGTCTTCACATGCTGGATAGCATGTATCATGGAGCTTTGTGGTTTATTACAAATTATGGAGCCCTAACTCATCACTGTCTATTGTATGATAAGATAAAATGGCCATCTCTGCATGTACGTCGGCTTGGCCAATGGTATGCTTTGATTTACAAGCCTATTCTTAAGTTGGAACACCTTATCTTTCATCTTTGTTAACTTTAAACAACATGACCTACAACCTCCGGTCTCAAGACTTTTTAAATTTTAGTGTTCCTCGTGTCAGAACAGAAAGGGGAATAAAGCCTTCAGCTTTTCTGCTCCAACCTCAAGGAACAGTTTGCAATCAATGCTTAAACTTGGAACACTAGTATCTCTGAATGTCTTTAATACCATGATAGATCCAGTTATGTTCAAGTTGCAGAAGTGCAATTGTTTTAATTGAGTCATTTGTTTTACTGTAAATTTTATTGTGCCTATGTGTTGTAACTGAGTGTTCTCTCTGTATGCTGCCAGTCTTGGCCAGGTCTCTCTTGTAAAAGAGATCTTTTGATCCCAATGGGACAAACCAGGTTAAATGAAGGTTGTTATTATTTTATACCCTGATTCATATTTGCTGGCATTTTGCAACTCCATGCTAAATAATAATGTTTTCCTACCTTTTGCTACTGTTTTGCTATTTTATTTTTATTTTTTGGCTCTAATTTTCTTGCATTCAACTAGAGTTTTGTGGATCCTTGTTGTAAAGTACCGTTCCTCTACATGCTGCTCAACTTTCACAGTTTCTGGATCTTAGATCGCAGTTTTCCTGATATCTTGTCTATATTTGGCTTTAGCTTTTGTTTTCCTGCCTCTAGTTAGTTCTAATTCCGGCTATCAGCTAGCACTAACACGAACATGACTATAAATCATTATTAGACATATTCGATTCACATTTTGTGTGCTAGTAGCTGAGTTTCATGGCTTTAGCTTTCTTTCTGTCTATCAGCGAATAGGAAAACAATTTATGCAAAACCCAACCAGTGCCTTAAACATGAAGCATTTACTTTCCTAGCTGATGTAGAATTGGTGCATTTGCCCTTTAATATTGGTTGTAATAAACATGTTGTGTGTGTTTTGTTGTAAATCTGTTTTTAGGTGTTGCAGATTGTGTTTGTGTCCACTCCGAGTCTGATCTATATGGGCCACGCCATGCACACCGTTCGCAGAGAGGAGAGGAGAAGGAGCAGAGAGGAAGATGATGGAGATGGGGGAGGGAAAGAGGAAGACCCCGGAGGAGGTGAAGAAGGAAGAGATAAACCAGGGAGGAATGAAGATAAAGATGAAGAAAGTGAGAGAGGTCCGTCAGCCGGGCGAGTTCGGCTCAGAGGAGCTCTGCTGAAGACGTACATACTGAGTATACTGATTCGCACCATTATGGAGGTAAACACAACTAATACTAGATGGAAACGGAGCACAAAAGTATTTTACTCAAGTAAAACTACAGTTGGTTACTTAGTAGGAAGTTTACTAACATACAAGTAAAGTTACATGTATAAGTAAAAGTAAAACGAGTAAAAGTTACTCTATTTTTCAAAGCATTGGAGCATCTCCTACGGTACACAAGGGACAAGAGGACTTTTTTTTTTCTCGAATGTGCTCTTAATTCAAAAAACCTCACAATTTGTTATGCAATCACAAACTAAAACATCTCCACACATGACATTTGAAACACTGAGAAAATAAATCTTTGTTCAGTGCAGAGCATCCCATGGTGCTCAACAAAACGGCTGGTAGAAAAACTTCAATTACTCGCCATGCTCTAGATTTTAGTACAGTTCCTTCTTGGAGCTACAATAAAATAGGTTTGGCTCACAGAGAAGACATAAACACGACTGCAAAAGAAACGGAAACGTGGAACAAAAAAGTGGAACAAACCAGTTATGTTGGTGCTAAGATGGTGTCTTTGGCAGGCCCCCTCCTCTTGACTGATGAAGTCTTTCAGATGGAAGGTGAAACGTTCCAGCAAAAGAAAAAAAAAAACTGTCCAGATGACCTGACTGAAAATTGTTGGATTGTATACCTGGATTATTGAGCATGGACATTTTTTTTTCAATTAGCCAATTAGTAATTAACAGTGATTACATCGGCTTTATAGTCTAATTAAATATTTTAAATGGTTACATTATTGGCTTCAGTTATGGTTGATCACATTCACACTGAGGTAAGATCAAATCTGCTGACTTGTGAAATGAGATGCTTGTTTTTTTTATTCACTTTGGTTGGTACAACCATAGCACACAAGTATTTTTACATTTTTATATACATTAGATAGCTTGAATACATTCTAGTATTATTTTTAATATTTTCACAAATCGTTTTTACATTATCAGCCCTTACTGCTGGCTGTTTTGACAATATCTACACCAAGCCTAAGTCCAGATGCTTGCCCTCTCCGGTTATGGCTCCTGAACAGTGTTTACCTGCAGTGGTATTTCCATCACATTGGTTGATGAGGAATCACTTCTCTGCAAAGCATGGGTGCCTGCAGGTCTGCCTCTGCACTATGTAAGAATGCAAAGTGCTTAAAGGGCAACAGAGCAGCCATGTGGTCTGGAACATGTGATTAAGGATTTACATCCAGTTGAGCTGAGGCATGAGAGAGTCATGTCACGTGACCAATGCACGCTCTAGTTGTGTATTTAACTCCTTGTGTCACAGTAGCGTCATCCAGAGACAGAATGTAGAAGAACAGAGCTTACTCACTGTGTCCACAACCTGCTTTCCATCCAGGTGGTGTTTCTGTGTCTCCAGTACTTCCTGTATGGAATCTTCCTCAATTCTCTGTATGTCTGCAGGGTAAGAACTAGTCCTATTTCCAGTCTTTTAGATTATTCTCCTCATATTCTGGCTTGTAGTGATTCTCCCATATTCTCTCAGGCCTGGCCGTGCCCACATCCTGTCAACTGTTACGTCTCCAGACCGACAGAGAAAAACGTCTTCATCGTGTTCATGTTGGCCGTGTCAGGCGTCTCGCTGGTGCTCAGCGTGCTCGAACTGCACCACCTGGCCTGGAGGCACTGCTGCAGGTACGAGTCCACATTGCTAGGAGCAATTTCAGTTTCAAACTCTCATTCAGAATGAAAACATGCTGAGTTAACCTAAATTATGAGTTCATATAGAGCCGTGCAAACCACACGATAATCATTTAGCAGAGATAAACACACACTCTGTCTTTGCTTTTATATTCCCTGATAGATTTTGTTTAATCCTTAGAGAAAACATCCAGAACTATGTTGGAGTCACATGAAAAATACAAAAATGCAGACTCAAAAAATAAACAAGAAAAATTTTCCAGCTTTGAGGAAACAAACCGTTGTAAAAAAATATTCATCCCTCCTGGTGATCTTTCTGTTTTGTTGCTTGGATTTTAAATTGAGTTTTTAATTTTAAAACCAATAATTCCACAGCTAACTTTATATAATGTAGGGAAATACTTGTTCCCAAAACCTAAAACATCTAAAACTAAAAAATGCTGTATTTATATGTGTTTGCTCCGATAACTCAACACTTTGTGTGTCCACCTTCTGCATCAGTTCCAGCTCTTCAGGTCCATCTCTGTGGTCTTGGTCCATCTAACCAGGGGTCACATGGGTCAACAATGCATGTGCACGAAAAGGTTGCGTGCGCCTTGCACATGTCGGGATGTATCAAAACGAACATTATTTGAGAGTGTGTGTGTAGATGCAGTATATGCACATTTTTGACCTGCATTGAGAATGTGCTTACCTCCATTTCCTTGTTCCTTTATGGGTCGCGGGGGTCACTGGTGCCGAGCGAGCAAAATGAACTCCATTCAACTTTAAACAACATAACATTTAACATGCATCAAGCATGACTAAAACCTCCTCACTCCAATGTAAACTGCAAATGTTCTTATATTTTTGTCACATTCAGCAGTGACTGCTGGTGAGGAGCAGAAAGTGTGTGTGGACTGTCTCACTGAGAATAAAACTGTCTAATCATCACATTTATTCAAAACAACTCATCCGTAATGATTCCTCCAGTCATAAAGGTGCAGACCATCAAATATAGCCATTAATAGCTGCATAAAGTTGTGTGTAATTGTGGATCTATGACAGCTGTGGTGCTGCAGGACGACATCACCAACAGGAGAATTAGAAAGCAGCGTGATGTTTGGGATCACATTGACCATATACTGATTGGGTATTTCTCCCTGAGCTGTGCCATGCCAGCTGTATGGGATGACTTCATCCATATGATGCCCAGATATATAAACCCCCCATCCCCACCCCACCCACATTGTGGCTGAAAAGCTTTCTTGAATCTCAGCGACTCGTTTCTTCACATCAACTACTTAAAGAATAATCTTCTGTTGTATCAAGCTCCTGGATGTCTCTGTGTTTACAGTAACTCATTTATTAAACGTGTGTAAAGATCAAAATGCCTCGGCCTCATAAGTGCGCCGCCGGCAGATCTGCGCCCCCTGGTTCACTTCATTCAATGACAACCAACGACAACACGCACCCTTCACACGTGTAGCAAACATGTTTTTACACCCCACTACTTATTTAGGAGCATCTCCGACTCACAGTGAATACAATTTGTCATTTTTCTGTATTTAGATATAAATTTTGACTGAGAATCCCACATTAAAAACACCTATTTTAACTATTTAAATGGAGTTGCCACACGTGTGCACAGTTCCATGTTCTTTCAGATGTATGAAGGAAAGGAGCGCTGCACGTGGTTTGATAAATCTGAATGTTTCTTTCCTCATTTTGTCTCTATGCCAGCTTTCAGGATGAAAGCTGTACACTATTTGATACATGAGGTGGTTTTACAGCAATATGTAAACTGACCAACTTTAAAGAGACAAAATGTGCTGTGATCTGAATAAAATGTTTTTACATAAACAGGTTTTACTCTTCTGTTGGTCCAGACTTCTTGTTGCTTTAGTTTAAACTGACTGGTTTAACCTCTGTTTGCAGGCATCTCATCATCTGTAAAAAGGATGCAGCTCCTGCCAATGCCTCCGTGGTCCGGCAGCTCTCTCTGACTGCACCTCGGCCATCAACCCCACCTCCAGATTTCAACCAGTGCGTGACTGGCTCCTCACACTTCCTACCACTCCCTTTCCCAAACCACCGGCTGGCCAGCCAGCAGAACTCGGAGAACATGGTAACAGAGAAGAACAAAATAGCCGCAGCAGTGGAAGAGGCTAACTTCCTCCAGATGAACTGCTACTCGTCCACATGGCAGAACTCTGAAGACGGTGGAATCGAAGACGGGACCTACCTGATGTCTGACTCTAACTGCTACAGCCCAGAAAGCAGAGACATGAATTGCCTTCAGACCCTAAAAGCTGGTCCAGATGGGCTGCTGCTGAAGGACAAGCGAAGATTCAGTAAAACCAGCGGGACGAGCAGTCGAACGCGAGCGGACGATCTGTCTGTTTAGGAAGAAGAAACCCGGGTGAATCTGGACTTCTACTTGATTCTCAACAATGTTCACTTTATATCTTGAAGGGCTTTCCCAGTTCAAAAGGTTTTAAATTGAATTAAAGCTGCAAGCAGCGTTGAAGGCCCTCGCAGCTAAGCGCCGCTGCGGCCTTATGGCGACCGCGGGAACTGCAGCGCCCTTCCCGGTCGCCATCGAGAACGCTCACGTTACCGTCACGCGCCCGTTCCCCGGAATGCGCATTCGCCAAACCTTTCACATAAGCTGCGACCGCATATATACCTATTGTAATAATGTAGGGGGCGCACTTGAGTGAAATATTAAACAACAACACCACTGCGTCCATAAGTCCTCACTAGTCAAGCACCAAAAATCTGGTCCAGATCGGACGATATATCACTGAGATATAACAGTTTGATTTATGTAGGGGGCGCACTTGATTCAAATATTAAACAACAACACCACTGCGTCCATAAGTCCTCACTAGTCAAGCACCAAAAATCTGGTGCAGATCGGACGATATATCACTGAGATATAACAGTTTGAATTATCTAGGTGGCGCACTTGAGTCAAATATTAAACAACACTAACAATGTGTTTAGACATGGTCACACATTATGCCATAAAAATCTGGTGCAGATCGGATGATATATCATTGAGATATAAGGGTTTGAATATTATAGGGGGCGCTCTTGAGTCAAATCTTAAAAAACATTACTAATGTGTCCATAAGGGCTACATAATAATATACCAAAAATTTGGTGCAGATCGGATGATATATCATTGAGATATAACTGTTGCAAGATTGTAGGGGGCGCTATAGAGTCAAAATTTAAAAAACATTACTACTGTGTCCACCAGGGCTAAATAATAATGCACCATAAATTTGGTGCAGATCGGCTGATATATCACTGAGACAAAACAGTTTGAATATTGTAGGGGGCGCCCTTGAGTCAAATATTAAACAACAAAACTAAAATG